ATGGATCAATTTGGAACATGTTTACGTCACAGCAACATAGATAAGACAAGCACTGCACATGATGTGATAAAACACTACATATAAGCATCTAGAAATAGAACATATCATTGAATAAACTCTTTGAATTCCTCCTCTTCACTCCTGACAGTTTTCCACCTGAAACAGCTCTGTGGTCTTCATCAGGACAGCTGATGAGCAGCATGGAGGAGAACAGAGAGACCCCTGGAGCTCAGGTCAGTGTGCACTTCATCACAATATATTCCTAATTCCAGCGTTTCCGCCAGGCGGGCGTCTTGCCGTCATTTGACGCCCTTATTCAGCTCGGAACGGCCTATACAGACATAAATAAACCAGTGACTGTATTCGCCATGACACAGACAGTCTGTGGTTTGTACTTGTTTAACTTCTGTCTAGTTTCTGAACAGATATGAGGAGCTGAGGGCTAACAGCTAACGGCTGATGTTGGTTTTGTGGTTCACATTGAAGATGACGTCACGGCTCCGCCTACTCTGCGTTACTATAGTTACTGCCCCAGTTCCTAAACTGTATTGGAAACGCAGCATAAAGTGAGCCTAGCCTACCAAGGCCTAACTATACCGTACTAAGCCGTGCAAGGCCCTGCAGTGGAAATGCGCCATAAGTGGATGTCATTGAAGACCTTTACAAGAGCAGTCTCAGTGCTGTGGTTTGGACGAATGCCTGACTGGAACACATCCAAACAGTTATTTAAATGCAAGAAATTACTCAACTGTTGAAAAACAACTTTTTCAATGATTTTACCTAGAAATGGGAGGTTTGATATGGGCCTGTAATTGTTCAATACTGAAGCATCTAGATTATTCTTTTTTTAAGAGCGGTTTAATGACTGCAGTTTTCAGAGCCTGTGGAAAAACACCTGAGTGAAGAGACTTGTTTACTATGTGAAGTAGATCTGAGGTCATGCAAGGAAAAACATCTTGGAAAAATCCTGTTGGAATAATATCAAGGCAGCAGGAGGAGGATTTTAGATGTTGTATAATGTCCTCTAGGTTTTTATCATTAATCTGATGGAACTGTGTCATGGTGTTTGAATTGATTTTAGGTGGACACAGGGACAACACATCTGCTGTACCTGATGCAGAGGCACTGACTGCTTGTCTGATTTTCTGAATGTTGTCAGTGAAAAAGGCAAAGTCATTGCAGGCCCTGGTGGATAGAAGTTCAGAGGCTACTGACACTGTGGGGTTTGTTAGTCTGTCGACGGTAGCAAACAAGGCACGTGCGTTGTTTTTGTTTTCGGCAATGATGTCAGAGAAGAAAGACTGTCATGCAATTTACAATTCCAAATTATAAAAGCCAAGTCTCTCTTTATAGATTTCAAAATGAACCTGGAGATTTGTTTTTCTCCACCTGCGTTCAGCTTTTCGACACTCTCTTTTTTCTGTTCTCACGGTCATGGCCTTTCTCCATGGAGATATTTTCTTGCCAGTCACTTCCTTTACCCTAGTTGGAGCAATGGCATCTATAACATTTTTTATTTTTGAATTAAAATGATCTACTAGCTCATTTACTGAGATGTTAGCAGGGGCAAGTGTGGAAGAAACATTCTGAGTAAACATTTCCCTAGTGTTTTCAGTTAAATATCGCTTTGTGGTTACCTCTTTTTGAACATTTGTGTGAACAGAAATAGAGCTCTCAAAGGAATGATCAGAGAGTGCAACATCAGTCACCACAATCTCAGAGATAGACCCTTTGAGATCATTAAGTCCAGAGTGTGCCCCTTATTGTGCGTGTGCTCCGTCACATGCTGAGTCAGTCCATAGTTATCAAGAACACAAAACAGTTCTTTAGCCCCTCTGTCCTGGGGGTTGTCAACATGGATGTTAAAATCACCAACAATGACTCAGTAAAGTCATCAAAAAAGCTAAAAGAAGCTAGTAAAGAGCACAGGTGAACTCCCGCAGCCTTGGGGGGCCCCTACATTGGTTGTGATGGCAGATGACAGGGTTTTGTTAACCTTCACAAGTTGCTCTCTACTGGTGAGGGAAGCGGCATACCAGTAAATCAGGTATGGATTTACTTCCATTTTGGCCATTTTTGACACCAAGATGTCTGCTTGTATTGTGTTGAATGCTGCTGAGAAGTCTAGGAAGAGGGCTCTTGCATAGGTGTGACATTTATCTAAATGTTTAGTAATGATATGAACCAGAGTAGCAACAGTACCACCCCCTTGCTTATAGGCAAATTGGTATGTCTTGTCCGTCACAATAGGTTTAGCTGAAGAGGTCATTCCTGTCATGGTTCTCATGGTGTCCCACACTTTTTTGGGGTCTTTGGCTTTAAAAGCATTTCCCAAAAGCTCTCTGTAACATGCGGCTTTCACACCGGCGCTTTTCCCTTTCTAGCTCCTCGCGAGAGCTTTTCTGGTTCAGCTCCCGTTTCCCTTTTCAGCTCCCGCTCTGTTCACACTGCCCAGAGCTGCCGCTGCTGCGTCATGACGTCACAGTTTACGTCGCTGATTTTCTCCCACAACAACAACGGGCCGGGGACTGCATCGGGTCGATGATCGTGTTGCTTTTAATCATACGAAGCCAGATTAAATTAAATAACGACTTCTCCAACCTTATACTTTTCTCCAGAGTGCCGTGGTTCATTGTTTATTAATGTGTTTCAGCGGCATTTACCGACCGCTGCAGTGCTGGCTGCTCTTCCACGGGAGTTTATTCTCCCGTTAGCTCCGGGTTAGCTGACACGGCTCTAAAGTATTCACTGTCTGACTGTCACACAAGCAGCTGATACATATCCCCAGTTCCCCTTAAGTGAATGTGTGTCAGTCTGAATTGACGCTGTTTGGTGTCAGTCTGAATTGACGCTGTTTGGCATCACAACGCTGTTATGAAAGTTTCTCTGGTATAACATGGGTGATGTTAGCATAGCAACCGAAGCTAAACTGACTACTTGCTAAGCCGTTTCCTATAGGCACATTTTACCGGCGTATTTTTCATTATGATTCTACTTCTGATAGTCGGACATGACAACCTGTACAGCCCATGTATCTCCACAATGATCAATAACAGCGAACGGATGGTCAAAGTAAGGTTTCCTGCACGCCTCGACGTAAGAGACGTAAGCGACGCCGCGTCATAGCTCCGAAGCTCTTGCCTCTGGACCGACAATTTTTTGGAGCTGGAAGTGAACCGCATTCCGGAGCTATGACGCGCCGCCGCTGCGGTGTGAACAGGAAAAACCGGCGCTTTTCAGGCTCTAGCTCCCAGCAGGAGCTGGAAAAGCGCCGGTGTGAAAGGGGTATCAGTGCCAGTTTTGATTCCCTCAATTTGACTTTCAGTTCTTTCTCTGTCTAAGTGCTCCATAGTCTTTGTTTTTGAAAGCTATTTTCCTGGTTTTTATAACTTTTTCCTTAGTCACATATGATTTATTACTTGGATAGATTTGTATTTCTTTAGTGGGAACACAGAAGTTAATATAGTCTTTGGTAACAGTAGTTATTTCATCTAGTGAACCTTCCTGAAAAATGTCCCAATCTGTCCAATCAAAACAGGCTTTCAACTGTTCCCTACATTCATTTGTCCATGTCCTTATTACTTTCTTTTCTGGTTGACTTCCCTTCAGTTTGGTCTTATACACTGGTATCATATTCACAACGTTATGATCAGAGTGCAGTATTGGTGGTCTGTATTTAGACACATGGGCTCCTTTATCATTAACAAAGCATTTGTCCAGGATATTGTCTTTTCTGGTGTGATCCCTAACATACTGCTGGAACCCAGGTAACACAGTCTCCAGGCGACATTGCTTCATGTCCCCGAGCACTATTGCCGGTGCATGGGGGTGGCTGAGTTGCAGCTCGTGAACACAGTGTCCTCTGCCGCTGGGAGGCACGTAAACAACAAACAGTAAAATACACCCGAATTCTCTAGGCAAATAAAAGGGTCTTAACGTCATGCCGAGAATTTCTACGTTGGGATTGCAGGTTTTACATTTTACTGAGTATGATCGGCACCACAGATCATTAATATACACACAAATACCGCCTCCTCTGGTTTTCCCCGAGTTCGCATCCCTGTCTGCTCGAACAAGGGTGAATCCGGGTATAACGGATATAAGGAATTTTTTCAACAACAAAGTGGAGGAGAGTCCTCTCCTGTCAGACTGAGAGACTCGGTGAACTAAAGGACTCTCTCAGTGTTTAGATAGTTAACTTTAGTCTAAGTTATCTCAGTGGGTCTCAAACGTTTTGGTCACCATTAATGTAAACAATTATTTCCGAGGCACACGTTTATATGATCATTATAGTTATAAAAAAAATAAGAGAATAAATGAAAAACAGGTATGAAATACTGTATGACAGTTAAAAAAGAATAAAGTTTAAAAGGGTGATTTGTAAAATACCCATAAAGAAAAAGTAAATCTGTTTACAGTTCTGTTTCATATGGGTGTTGAGAGATGTATCCATAGATCTCTTCATTTTGCTCCCAAAGTGCACCAGATTGATGCTTTTAACTTCAATATTTAAAAATAAATCTTCCCGGGGGAGCTTGCCCCCGGACCCCCCTATGTGAGGTCCACTCCCCACTTATAAAAATAGCACTTTACCCCTGCTTACACCTATATGCCGTGAGCTGATTATCGAGCCTTCATTGTAACAGTCGCGGGTACACTGTGTATTTGCGTGTGGGGAGTGTTGCAGTAGAAAATTCCACTGTATCAACAGGTACATTAATGGGAAACCCTAAATGTTTGAGCACCCTCTATGAAACGTCAAGCTACCCCACAGCACCCCCAAAATAAATCTCTGGTGCCACTGAGCCTGACTATTTGTGTTGGGGGGGCCCGACTTTTATTTTTTTCTCCAAAGGGGGGGCCTGACAGAAAAAGTTTGAGAACCACTGGGGCCTGTCAGCCTTCCATCTGTGCACAAACTTATCTTGTGACCTCATTGGTCATGTGCGCGTTCGTGTGTGTTGGAGGAGGGGCTCTATAAGGAAGTGGCAGATTTTCTCCGGTTGTGTATTTTCAAATTCTAGCGATCTCGTGCCGGTTTCTCAAACTTACCTACCCTACCTTTAATTGAAGTTATTGTAGTGTTGAGCGAGTTTCAGTTTCATATAAATTGTTTGTTAGAAGATCTTTATTAATTCGCTATGCAAAAAGGACAAGTTTGATGTCTGGCTTCCCAGTGTGGCATTTTATTCTCATGGTATTCACTTGCGTTTTCTCCTTTGACTTTGCATCCAAAGTCATTCAAGAATATAACTGTGTCTGTTAACCCCTTAACCCTTTACAGTAACAAACTTAAAAAGTGAAAATGTTTTGGGAATATCGTTTGAAAAGGCTAGGTAAATGTTTTTGTATCCTCCCTTTATCCTAACAATGGCCATGGTTTGTTTTCGTCCTCATCTTTGCTTGTGCAGCTTTGTTTCTGTTTCTTGTCCTGACTGGCCACATTACCAGCTGGAGCCCAATCCCTGCTGACTTTGTGTTGTTGGAGTATGACCTGTCTAAACAGAAACCAGTTGCCCAAAGAATTAAGATAGCAAGTGTGTGGCTGCAATAATTGCCCCATGTCCCTCACTGAGCTCATATGTTTGGCTTGTCATTGTTCCTTTACAGTCACTTTAGTTACGGCTGGGTTGTCACCTTCCTGTGTCCTCATCAGACAGCGGGTTAATCACACCCCTCGGGGAAGTTGCTATCTTCATCACTGAGTGTCTCAAATGATCTAAAATAGCCCTCACTGTCTTTCAATCTTTGTTCACATTCATCTGAATACCACTGTTATGAGTAAATAGATGTAATCCTGAAAAAGGAAGCTTGTGCAAGATGAAAATGTAGGAGACAGTAGGTAAACTGCTCTCTTCATTATTGGGCGTAGTATTTGCAGTCACAGCCAGAAATCTTGGCAGGCAGAATTGTAATGTTTGTTTTTGCATATTGTGTTAAATATATGTTTGGCAAACTGATTTGGTATGCAGTTTGATCCAAATGTATCTAAATCATTTGGATGGAAGAAGAATCAATGTTCATTCACGCAAATACTAATCCTGGTTTAGAAATGAATGTCTCCTGATAGTTCAGCAAAGGCCTATGGAGAACTTTTCAGATCCTTACATCAGCCACACAGACACATAGTGTTAATATATGCTTTAAACTCCGACTTTAAATGCATCCTAAGGTATGTGGATCAGTGTCTATTTTAGGACTGTCCTCGAGAATTGAATTAGGCCACGAGGCTACTGGATTTCCCCTCATTTGGCAAAACAGCACACACGAACAAGAAAATAAAAGAAGAGAGTAACATGGCACAACCAGAAAATTGTCATTCATGTCAAGTAATGGCATTGCATCAAAGTGACAGGTGGTAATTGCAGACATAAGGGAAGCAATTCTGTGCCAAAAAGTGTATTAAGATGTTCAGATAAATGCACACAAGTAACCACTAGCATTCATTACGCATGTTTGCTATTCAAAGAGAATTTTCTCGTTTCTCATATACTGATTGTGACACCAACTGAGTGAAGCCTACTTTAATAGGAAGGGCACAGCATCAGTTGTAGATTAAACTCAATAGGATGTATTGATCCGTAGCACTGGTTCGCTCAGTGCAGGGTACTGCCTGCCGGATGGTTGACGATCGTGTTATGGCCCCTATGACATATTTATTTCCTTTTTTCCCCCCTTCCTCTTCACTTCTTTTTTCATACTGAATATCACATGCAGCCTATAACGTACCAGAGGGATGTGTGTGAGTGGTGTGATGAACAGAGACAGCAGTAAGAGATGATACTGAGTGTGGTGTGTATGATGCCTCACATTTAGGAGAACGGGATTGTGCAAACAGGCTGTCAGATCAGTGCAGCGGCAGAGAGTGGGACAGCGGGGGTTGTCTCGGGGAGGTGGGGTCTGTCCGTCCCATGTGTTGACTGTCGGATGGAGAGAAGAGGGGCACAGCACAGTGAGTATGAAAGGACACAGAGCGCTACGCAGAGAGAGACTGCAGGCATGCAGCAACATGGAGGAGCATATATGTTTAAAGAGGATGCAGCAGAGAGTGGATTGATGAGGTAAGAAAGCTGAACTGAGACCGGCTACAAGAAAGCAGTTGCGTATTGATTTGTATTTGCTGTTATTATGAATTAATCTTTTTATTGTAACGTGTGTACAGTGTTTAAGTCAGAAGACATTATAGATGAAGGGGGTATAGGTTTTTAGAAACATGAAGAAATTCAAGCTATTCATATACACAATGTTTGATATGTGGTTGTACTTATAGTGTCCTGAATGAGAGTTACCTTTCTTTCTCCCACAGGCATCAGGTCTTCAGATACCCGGGGGTTAAAGATCTGTCAAACATGTGATAGGCCAACATCCCTTGAAACCTTCATCATGTGACTTTGCGGTAGAGTTTGTAGACCCTCACCATGTTCTCTCTGTGGAATCTGTATCTTCTTCTCCCCCTCTACTTGCCTCTCTCTTTCCATGTCATAGCATTTACTGGAGAAAATGTCAAGGAAACACAACAGCCAGATACAGCAGTGCAGCATCTATCAAAGCTCCCACAGAAACATAATGGATTCACTTTAGCAGCAAGGAATCCTATGTTTAGGACTGAGAATGTCAAATTTCTGGGTCTACCTGCGAGTTTGCCTTTATTGTCATCTGAGGAGTTAGATAGACAAGGAGTGCTTGGAGAATATGAGGATTTACAGGACAGCATAGAGAAATCTAATGTGTTTCCTAAGGAGAAGGGACATGTCATATTGAGTCCTACTGATACAGAAGATACGACCTCCAAGGAGAGAACACAACCAGTAGGACCATCACCAGAAGGCGTACCACCTCAGACATCAAAGTATCAGCCAGCTGAAACGAGTACTGGATCTACTTTGCATTTTACACGGACTGGAGAGAATCGGCCGACTTTCCCAGCTTCGAAGAATGAGAAGATTGTCCCCCAGTTACCATTTCTTCTGTCTGGCTCAATTCCATCAGGCCACGACTCCACAACAACGGTCTCTGGTGGACCTTGGCCTGGCCTTGAGCGCCCAACTCCAACAGCAGCCACATGGAGATGGACCACGGGCCCTGGTATCAGGCAGAGAGAGACACAAGAGGGGACTGTCCCAGTGACAGAGAGCAAAGATGGAATGACTGATATTACAGGACTTCATTTAAACAAAGGAGCGGTCCGAATAGAAGAAGATAAAGGTAAGAGTCATGCCTTGAAATGTAATGCATTTGGAGCATGCATGATTTACTGAACATGATTAAACAAACCCTTATAGCCTATATCATGAATGGTAAGATTTATAGTCTCATTAAATACCTAAAATAAAATCCACTAGACTCCAGGTCTGTGTGACTGCAGTGTTTCCAATATGTATTCTGCTTGCAGACACAATTATTTGACATTCACAGAATGGTTTGCATCACTTCACTCCTCCGAGCGTTCACTCTCCTGAAACATCCCTCCCCGACTGTCCCTAAACCCTCTCTCCCCTCTCTTCCGCTCTCAATCCTTTTATCACAGGTTCTCCCACTCATTCCTCCACTATCTTGTTGATATAAAAACATTTCCTTTATTTTGCAGACAGTTTTTATTACCCACACTCAAAGGTTACAAGATAATGTGGTGCACATCTGCAGTATTTACTGAACACACACAAATGATGGCACTCACTTGTCAAAGTAAATGATGTGTTGTGTCCACAATCATAAGGGGAGGAGGGCTTTGACAGAACTGTGCGAGAAGTGAGCCTTCTTCAAGTTGCCTACACATTTAATACCAGACACAATTGTCAGCCAAATCTACAGTTTGATGAGTAAATGTATCAAATATTACTGACAAAATCCTGTGCTTAGAATGTATCTCTGCTTGTGTTGACACAATCAGTTCACTTATGATGGAGGATCAGAAATAGGACACATTCCAGTTATAACCAGAAGGCTCCCTGCATGGTTCTGTTGGCTCCATACTGCTTACTTTGAATGATTTCCTCCAAGAGATAAAGTGCCTACATTATTTATTAGTTGCACAATCACAGGTGCATTATGTACATTTAATATGACTGCTTGTTCTTGAATAAAGTATGTAACAAATATGATAGCACCTCTTGACCGTGCTTAATAATAGCCACACAGAATGAGAGCAGCAATGAGGTCAATACTGGCTAATCAACACACATCTCTCTATGTTACACACACACACACACACACACACACACACACACACACACACACACACACACACACACTACTTCCTCATGCTCCCACTCTCTCTGTGACCCAGTTAGAGATTCTCGGTTACAAGCATGCTCTGTTTTATAATGGATTAACTTCCAACATGGCAAATTCTCCCCTTTTATGGAAAATAAAGACTGTGGGTATAATTGACTTTGACCTGTATCAATCGGTTAGTTCATTTGTAAATGAATGTCCCTATTATTAAAATGTCATAATCAGCCTGCTGAAGTTCCCCAGGTGATTTCTGCCATTTGCCAACTGAGAACATCAGTTATGTGTGCATTTAAAATGTCTACCTTGTGGTTCTCTGTTGATACAACAAATAGGTCGGTAATGTTTCCTTTATTTATACTTCTTTACAGATGACCTCAAAGAAGATAACCCGCCTCTCTCAAACACCAATGGCACAATCTGCAAACCTTCAAACCAGTCGTGGACTCCCACCTACCCGGAGGATTTTACCCCTGACGAGTCCGTGCGCCCCTCTCTGCCTCTCAGCCCTGTGCTGTTTGTCCCTCTGTATTCGGACTGGAACTCTGCCCTCGCCACATGGGGATTTGCATGGGAAGCACATGTGTATGGACTGGGGTCTGTCTTTACCGTATTCGGCCTAATCTCTGTAGTTTGCCTTTTAGGCCTGCCCCTGCGATGTCCTCCGGGAAGCCCCTACTTCACCCTTCTGCACTTGTTCCTCCTAGCATTTGCCGGGATCCAAGCTTTCTGTTTGCTCTATGATGCTTACAATCACCAAGATCGTCTTCTCCCTCTGAGCTCTCTGCTTCTCTCGAATCTGCCCTTCCCCTGTTTGATTTCCGCCTTCTCCCTTGCTTTCCTTCTTCTTTCCTTGCGCTCCCGTTCACATCTTTCACTCCCACTTGCTAACTCCACCTCGTTCACAGCCTTGCCTAAACCTTGCCTGTTACTGTGTATGTCCCTGTTGTATTCTGGGGTCTCTCTAGGGTGTGTTGGCTTGCTTCAGTTCTTCCACAGCCTCCCCTTTGTGATCCTGCTATTCCCTCAGGGTTTGTTTGTATGTCTTACTATCTTTCTCTCTGGCTCCTACCTAATCTTCTACTGCTTGATGCAATTCAACACCAAACACATCTACAGGCTGAATGACAACGAAGAGAGTGGAGGATCTCCTGAAGGGATGCGACCTGCGAGTTGCCCCTTTGCCAAAGTGGAGGACTGGGGCAGGGCAGCAGGGGCTGGAGTAGGAGCTTCGTTGTGTTTGTTAGGATGTGGAGGCCTCCAGTTTTATGGGATCCTGCATGCTCTTGGTTTAGGAGGGGTTGATGGCTATGGGTTCCAGCCCTGGCCTTGGTGGGGTTACCAGGTAGGCTGCAGACTCTGTGAGGTTGGGGTGTGTCTGGGCTTGTCAATTATTGGTTCACACCCTATATTCTGTCACAGTAACTCCTCTATCAAGACTATAACTCGTCCCCGACCAGGGTCTTGGTCCCGCCTCTCCTGCAGCTCCCCTTCACGAGGGCTCACCCTGCCCTCTCAGGGACGTGCAGATTTGCCTATCCTCTCCTCTCACGATACTTGGTCCCAAGGTAAGCAAGAAAAGCTGGTGGTCTGTGATGTTTCCACAAAAGGACAGTCAGAGGCACTTCCTCTTTTCTCAATGCTGGATTCTACTGGAAATGGGCTAGTCTCCAAGTCCAGACAAACCCAGATCACCATACTGCCACTCCCTACACCCCCAACCCCACCGCACAAGCATAAAAATGCAGTTGAGTCCCAGCTATCGTCACTGGATAGCCTGGAACTGGAGGCAGACACTACACTGGATCTGCGGCCCCCTTCTCCCATAGACCTGTCCCGCAGCATTGACCAGGCTCTGTTCAGTGAATCCATATTCTCTCACAGTATCTTTGGTTTGCCAGGACTCTATCACGCTTCTTCCAGCCTCTCTTTGAGCTCTCCTAGCCAAGATGCGTCTAACCAAGGGCCTAGCTCTGTGGAAAATGCCCTCTACCGAACCTCTTCCTGTGGTGATGCGGATCAAGAGAATGCCCTATCCAGATCAGGGGCTTCCCAGGCACAAAGCTCTTTGACATCTCACTGCAAGCAAACAATATCACCAGAGCAATGGGACTGGAAAGAAAGCGTCTCTGGTTCAACCCAGGGTCTGTGCAGCAATCCCAAAGAGAACGGAAAACTACGCTTGCACTCCTGGGCAAACAGGGGTCAGAACTTTGCTCAGAGCAGCCTCCCACAAGCAATTCCCCACCTGTCTTACCACAGGCGCTACCGAACCCTGAGCTTAGCCTCCCAGGACAGTCGTGGATCAGGACAACTGGCAGAGACTAAACACCTGAGTGAAAGCAAACAGCTTGAATGGGATATGGCTGTTCAGGCAGAGTTTGTCAACGTGTGCAGACAAATTGACACTCTGAGTGTTTGCAGTGACACCATTGAATTATAAATGTCCAGTTCGGATTTAAATGCACTTGACATTGTACAGAAAAAGCAGACCCTGCTATTGTTAGATTAAGTAATTCAATTGTAAATCATAAAAGTTATACGGATGGAAATATCTACCTTAACTAACAAAAGGGGAATATTGATATGGACATTATTATGTAGATCTAATTTATTTTGTATAAATACTGTACTGTTGATATGATATTCAAAATGTGATTTTAAAGGTTGTCTTTATCAGCTTGTGGTATTTTAACTGAAATTGTCATTCCATTCACACATTCATGAATGTCAATCTATTGCTCAAGACTGCAAATGCTTTGCTTTCATCTAAAGCAGGAGTTTTAATATTTATATAACTGACATGTTGAAGTTTTTTGTTTTTAAAGGGATAAACAGGTAAAGGAAAGCCTTCGTTAATAGAGAGAACAGACTATATTGAATGAAACAAAGGCTCGTTCTACACCATTAATCTACTGTTGTGTTTTCAATAGTGAATAGTGAGACATTTTACAAATATTGAGATAACCTTCTTTGACTTCAAACCATAAAGGTAGACAAATACAAATATAATTGAGTGCCAGATGTTTGTGATGTTGAAAGCATAATATTTTGCCAACACATGATCAGTATCTAGCTGTTTAATGAGTTGTGTACAGAGTGGGCAAACATTAACTACTAGGAACAAACATTTTGGCATGTAGTTCATTCATAAAATTGTTTATTATGTGTTTCAGCGTGATGTAATACATTTGGAAATTCAAGGCAAAGTCATATACAGGATGAGTTTTCTTCCATGTTTTTCCTGCTTGGTCAACAATGTCAGAATTATCTTTTAAAAAGATAAATGTAAAGAATGTTGTAGCACCTACAGTGATATGCAATAATCTGAGGTTTTTTTAATCTACCGGAGGGAGGCAAACTCTGGGCCCACAGTTAATGTGAGAGGCTTGAATTTAAAATTGAAGTAGTAACATTTTGAAAATAGTGTTATCTAGTGGTAACAACACATTTCACATATTAGTCAAATAAGTCAAATGTGGGATTTTCTGGAGATATAAAAGAGAAAATAAAACAATATGAATATGACCTTGTCAGAATTGTCTTTATTCATGCAACACTATTTACAGAGATTTTAATTCGAAAGCCTTATGAGTGATAGAAGAAAAATATACATTACAAGATACAAGTCATATATATATATATTTAAATTATTAGGAACTGTAAAATAATTTGGTCAGCCAGTTCAATAGCTAAGCTCTTTGGCTGCATGTCATTACTAATAAAGTCCCACTGTTAATCGTGGACCAACATGTGTAATACCAAAGATGGTAAGTACCGCCCAGACAAATAAATCACATTTAAAAACTGATAAATTAACTTGGATTAACATTTGCTCACAATTTTATCAAGAAATAAATCTAACTTGACTTCATAGCTCTATTTCATTGACTCAGCATTTAATTGTTTAAAGACTGAGCCTGAAAAAAGGACAAATAACTACCTACGTTATGTATTATATACAAATATAAACCTATGTAATTTACCATGTCCTTTTTGCAAAATGAAACTATGGAATATCAAAACATGTAGAACCAATGTGACACAGACTCATCTGTATTGGAAATTCAAAATGACAGTGATATTTGTCAATTATAATCACACTAAAATGTGTAGTCTTCAGTCTTGTCAATCAAATATTGTGTTAATTAGTATTTTCTGTGCCAAATGAAGTGAACAGTGGAATATCTAGAGTGCAATATCACATTATCACTTTAAAGCGCTCCTTGTTACAAATATGTATGTATGAATTAAGGCTGATGCTATGCTTTGGTCCCTTCTGAAACAGCAGCAGTACATTTAGGTAGCTCATCGGCTAGAGGTGAAATGACATGCAAGGTATTTGCTTAAACAAGATATAACTGGTGTTGTGAGAAGCTAAAGAGAACAAAATGTTACTTGACCTACTATGAGTTTCTTTCAGGCTCGGTTAGCTTTATACACAAGGTGTCAGCAGAGAGCTGATAGTGAAACCATCAAATATATTGGTTCTTTACTTTTTTAATAAAATAAAATGTTGAAACTTTATGCCAAATACCTTTTATCCTTCTTTTGTTAATAAAATATCTAACTGCTAGATTCTCTACAAAAATATCTTGTTATAAATACAAAATGTGCGTGGAGGCATAGGGCTGCACCTCTGCAAGCCTTGTTGTACAACCCAGTATCTATATGGTGCAGTTTGGAGGCCAACAAGAAAGGGGCCTTTTATTACGTCAGCAATGATAAGCTTGTCCTAAAGTAGTTAATTAAATCAGTTTGCTTGTTGAAGGGGATCAAGAGAATAGTTAATTACATTACCTTAACTAGACCTTGGCCCCACGGGTAGAAAGACAGATAATGAGTTTATGTGGGGACATGAGTGGTTGAAGAGTACAAAGATAAATCTTCAAATTCACCTTAAGGTGTTTTGTTTTGTTTATCTTGGGAGGGGTCAATGAGGAGACAAGACTGTGTTGGAGTGTGAATGGTGTTGAGCTTGATCACATGCGCCCGGTGCCTCTGCTCATAGCTGCTGGGATCGGGACATTTGGTCCTAGGCGAGTGTTTCCTCTTCCTCCACTCTCAGTAAAGTCGTTTCTCGTAACTAAGCATGACAAATTAAATAAAGAGTGTAAGTGTTTTCTATGTTTCCATAACAATTCAATAGTAACAAAGCAAACTTGGATGGTGATGAGTGAATGAAAGAAGAAGATGGAGGTGTGATTATGACGGGGATGTACTTACATGGCACAAAAGAATATCTAATGTGATAGCATGGGTCAGAAAAGAGGAAGAGAAAATACACACTTAGATTGTTAGTGCCTTAACTGTTATAAAGTCAATGTTACATATTTAGAGAGGAAACAGGTGAAGACAGACAAACTACCTCTGCCACAAATATAATTAGACTGTAGAGATTGGACTGCAGAGTTAAAGTCACAGGTGTTGAAGAGGAAGGGGAAAGGTCAGAATCTATGGGTCAAAGTTCAGACTTACGAGTGAAGGCCGTGGACTCCTCCTTCCATCTGAGCAGACATGGTTCTTTTCTCAAACTTCAGCTCCCCAGAGTACATCATGGACCTGGTGCAAAGACACCTCATTAAAAATCTAAATCCCTTATACACCAAATAGCTTATACACACGCACATATGCTTACCTTAAAATCGACAAACTCTTGGCTCCTATGTCCTGACAGCCATGTTGGATACCAGCAATGAGATAAGGAGCAAACTTATGGATGGAGCCTTTATCTGTTACTGATCCTGAGACACCTTGAGCCACCTTCACCTTATCTCCCTCGCTGGATACACAATTCACATAGAGAGAGACATAAATGTATCACATTGACATCCAATGACTGTACATTTTTCAAAGGGCCTCTGTAATCCTGATCCCTCACCTGAAGTAGCGTTTCTGACTGTTATTTTTCTCCATGGCGTCCAAGGAGCCCATTCCTCTGTACTTCTTCAGACGCACACCGTCTGAAAAGAAATATTCTCCTGGGGCTTCAGTGGTTGCTGCGAGCAACGACCCCATCATCACTGAGGGCAAAAACATGAGGGCAACAAAAAGTTATGCTGACTGCAGAAGACAACAGGCAAGGGCAAAAATACTATACTGTTTTTATTTGAGGAAAAAGTCAAATGATAACATATAAGACTTCAGAAAGCACTAGAACGCTTTTCTACCTGTAGATGCTCCCAGAGCCAGAGCTTTCACAACATGTCCAACAGTTTGAATGCCTCCATCAGCAATAACTGGCACTCCAAAACGTCGAGCATACTCTGCAACCTTGTACACCGATGTTCCTTGGGGCCGTCCACATGCCATCACTGAGGAACAAGAGCAATAGTGTATGGTATAAACCTGTGTTACATGTAATAATAAAAATAGACTGGTTGTTGTTGACATGGCTGCATTGTTTATCATACCTTCCTGTGTGATACAGATGGAGCCACATCCCATGCCCACTCTCAGGGCGTCTACACCAGCGTCAATGAGGTTTTTGGCCTGAGCAGCTGTCACCACTAGAGGGAGATAGACACAAAGAAAGAGCTTAACATGAGAGATATGGGGAAGATAAATAGGGAGATTTAGTACCATAAATGCACAAGAAAGCCCTGAGGCAAGTAGAGAGCTTACCATTTCCTCCGACTACCTGTAATTCAGGATGTTTCTGTTTGATGTAGTTTATCATGTTGATCTGATACACTGAGTTTCCTTGGGAGGAATCCTGTTATGCAAAGAAAGTTCATTTGTTTCAATGAGCGATCAGGCACCTACTGTATCTCAAATTTAAACAAAAAAAGGAAATTGGAATAGTTCATATTCAATATAAAATATCAAGGAGAAAAAGGTCAACATGAATCCTATACCTATATAAAGAGGTTGAGGAATTATCTGACTGTTATGTGCTATGCAATCTGAATCTAGTCTAAAACTAACCCAGAGATTAATCATATTATAGTCACAACCTACCAGAACGACCACATCTACTCCAGCCTGCATGAGGAGGTCCAGTCTGTAATGGTCGTCCTCCCTCGTGCCAATAGCAGCTCCACACAGCAGCTGTTTGCGAGAGTCCTTGGAAGCCAGAGGATAATCTCTGTTCTTTTTCAAGTCGGTCCTTGCAATAATGGCAACCAGCTCATCACTGTCATTCACTATGGGGAGCTTACCTAGCAGAGCCAGAGTGGGAAGAAAGTGAGTGATGGACGAAAGAGAAATTCCAAAATGTGCATTTGAATCCAAGATAAATGTACTTTTGCCTCACAGTAGCGTGGCCTACTTCACATATTTACCTTTTTTGCTGCGTTGCAGTATATCATTAGCCTCTTTCAGTGTGACTCCAGCAGGGGCAACAACTAAATCTTCTCTTTTTGTCATTGCCTGAATCAAAAAGACATTTTAATGATTCAAACAGTAAAGTACACGTTTATCGCTAAATCACCCACTTCTTTGACATAATTGCTGCATATACTGTGTATATATACAGTATATAACAAATGAACAGCCATACACCTACTTCCTCCAGGGGTCTGTCATGGTCCTTCTCAGACAGGAAGTCTATGTCTCTGGAGGTGACGATACCGACCAGCTTGCTGCCCATCTTGCCAGTCTCTGTAACAGGGATCCCAGAGAAACCATGGCGTGTCTTTGCCTCAAACACGTCCCCCACTGTGTGTCGAGGACTCATCACCACTGGGTCTGTAATGAAGCCCTGCTCAAATTTCTGGCAAGAACAAAAACACAAGTTTTAAGGGGTTAGAGGCCAGTCAATGTAAGTCGTTTTCTTCTTATTGGGAAAAGTGTTGTCATGGGTGCTACAGTCACAGATGACTCTATGTCAATAGTCACTTAATGTTTTTGTCGACTTGGTCCATCTTACCTTGACTTTGCGGACCTCGTTGGCCTGGAACTCAGCAGTACAGTTATGATGAATTATTCCAATCCCACCCATCAACTGAAAACAACCAATCAGGGACATGGGAGGAAATAATTAATTGATGAATGAATGAATGAACACTGAAAATGTATTTAAGGCCTTCAATATTCCTGGTAGAGTCTGTGGTGCAGGACGATGCTAAGCTGAGTGTAAAACATTGTATGGCGTGTCTGAGGTGCAGGGTTTTTACTCACTGCCATGGCGATGGCCATGGATGACTCTGTGACTGTATCCATGGGAGATGAAATGAGAGGTGTCTTCAGTGTTATCTTTCTTGTCAATGCAGAGGTAAGATCCTAAAAATCACGTGCATTTGGAAAAAATAAACATCAGCTTTAATCAAAGATATAAATACACATTTAAAATGACATGGCATACAACTGAGAAGCAAGGTCCTGCAGTGTTGCAGCTACAGGACAATGCTACCCATTTGTTAACCAAAAGTTAAGGTTTGTTTTTGTATGCCGTGTAAGAGCCTAAAAGCCAGCTTGGCCGATTAGAGGCCGCCTTGTTGAATCCACCTGCTGAGTGTTAGGTGACGCATGGGTGTGTCTGTTTTTAACACCTGCTATCGAGCAATAACCCATGTGACCTAGGCAAGTAGGCATGAAATTAATTTAAAGTCCCAGCAGAGCTTGCAAAGACGAAAACAAAGCATGTGAAATAAACAACCCTGTGCTCTAAGGAACATAACAACGAGTTAGGGATTCATTACAAGCATTACAGCAAACCTTGTCTGTTCTTGTGAATTATTGTCAGGAATTTGACTTACCAGCAAAACATTTTTTTAATTGAGACCAAGGATGAGAACATGTTTGTGGACAATAGGAAATATGAAAACTAAGAAATTGTTCTGTGTGCATCACCTATAAAACAAATCTAACAAAACAAACACCAGGGAACAGTTTGTCACTTGAGTGATAAGCGAGAGAGGGTTGAGACACTTACCACCTCATCAGAAGTAAAATCTATGAAACCAGGCAGGATCAAGAAGTCACTGAGAGGAAAGACAAAACAGACACACGTGAATATCAATATTGTGAACTGAAAAAGTATGACATGAATGAAAAATCCATATTAATAGTACAATGACCTCCATAAACAAGATGAATGTAGCTTTTGATGTGAACTATGCAGAGCAAATTCTATTCCTACAATGCATCAGTTTTTTAGAGGTTGCTGTGAGCAGACGTAATCTGTCAACCCTCTGAACTGGTCTGCATTTATCCTCTGCACACTGATAAACCCTGCATATAGCCCCCATTAAGGAAACCACACCAACACCCATTAACACACTGATATGTGCACACACACTCACCCACTGCTATTAATGTCTGAAAGCCATCCTTGAAAGTAGTATTACACATACTAATCCTCAATATAATACCCAGGCAGATGTGTCATCACTGATATTACTAAACATTTAATGGAAGGCATTGATTGCATAATTCTAATGTGTATTTCTGTATGTGCACATGCACGGCATACCATGTGAGCAAATGCATCCGTGTCAGTGTGTGATACCATGAAATGAGGTAAAATGTATCTGTTATGTTTTGTGTTTTTTTGCATTTCTTACTTGTATGTAAGTCCATCGCCGATTGCAAAGAGTTGTTGTGCTGTTAGTCCATCTTCAGGAACATAACCTGTGCCTCCACTGATCAAGTAGTCTGCCATGCTGGAGTATAAACACACACAGAGAGCCACACACATGCACAAATTATAAAACTGAAATGTGTGACTAGTGTAAAGTGTGAATATTTGTGTATAAATACAGGATAATTCATAGATGACACAAATGTTACATTATAATACATTACATTATATTACATGTCATTAAGCTGACACTTTTATTAGAGGGTCTTACATACACTTCAACACTGTAGACATGCAGTTCACGGAATAATTTGGGGTTAATTATCTTGCCCTTGTTGACTGTGGAGGCTGGTGATTGAACCATTGAACACTCTGATTGGTATACACACATTTACCGCCAAACCATATATCACATATTTCACTGTACCATCAGTTACTGGTTCATATATCTATACAAATGTTAAAAAAAAGGTTTAGTCTCTATGCATGTATCCCTTGTGCGTAACATGTTGTTTTATCTTGTTTCTTTCTTCACCTCTGTTTCTTAAACACAGGCTCCAGACTATTACAAATGTTGGACTGGTGACCCAAAACAGTAACAAAAGGGATCTGTTCTTGTCTGTGAACACTCTTTATATACACCTGTGACGGCAGTGCAGGTAAGAGGATTTGGTTTTCTGCCCAGGAAGCTGATAAACAGGCTTTTAAAAGCACACAACCAGTGCTGCTGGAAAGTGAAAATATCTCAGATCTTATAGTATGAGCCATGTGGTGACAGACTGACCTCTCTGGTTCATATCCAGCTTGGATACGTGTAGCACTGTAGCGCTGGGCTGCAGTCTCATGCCCATGTCCATGTGGTGAGGGGGGGACATACAGTAAGCCCTGTAGGGAAGAGGTCGTTCCCCATCTCTGTTTAAGATGCGAGGCCGCGCTGGTTCCATGTCCCCAACGATCCTCCGGTAGTCGATTTGGTAAGTGTCTCTGTCCCCTTCTCCAAACCGGTCATAACCATGACCCTCCATCTCTAAGAAATCCAGGGCTACGACCTCCACAGGGCCCCAACACCTCACACACACACACACACACACACACACACACACACACCCACACACTCAAACACACACAGTCACGGCCTCTTCAAGCACTTCTGACCTGTTTCATGAACACAGCTTCACACCTTTACCAGCAAGTTAACATTGGTCCAAGCAGCTCCCACACAGCTTGTTCAGTTTTAAGCACTGATAAACAGCTTTGAGTGCATGTTCACATAAATACCTTTCATGCACAGCTGAACTTGGGAGGAAGCAGTTTTGCCATCTGTTTTACATCCAGTATGGCCATATAATTTGTCTCAATAATCCCAAAACTGCAGAAGAAGCAGCAACAAAAGTCCAGAGTTTGTTTTCCTGTTTCTCAGCTCTGGTCACCGGAGTTTGAGGCCAGTAAGGCCCTCAGGCAGGAGCACAGAGTTTTCAGCTAACCTGTTGATTAAGTCTTAGCACACTGAATTTAGAAATCCGTGTCTCCCAGCTGGAGGCATGAGCAGCCCCTCGGGAGGAGAGTCAGTTCTTGCTGAGGTGGCACAGACGTGTCCCTCTAGAGGCCCAGAGTGCACTGCTGCTTGATTATCTATGAAGCTTCTCTCTACTCTGTTCTCCTGGTGCCTGCTGAGCTTAACTCTGTTTCTGACAGTAGCAGACGTCACTCTCCTACAAAGAGGATTGGGAGCATTAATGCAGGATGGGGTGGGGTGAGATGGGTGTGTAGGGTGGAGTGAGGCAGGAGGACTGAGGAGGAGAAGGATGGGTCAAGATGACACTTGAACGCACTTTCCCCACTGAGGATTAACATGTTGTAGAGGTGTGTTGTTTTTTCAGAGAGACAGAGCTGTGAATGAGACAAAGGTCAAATCCCAGAATACCTTTATGCCGCCAGTTTAGCTCCTTTGAGACAGAGGGGAGAGACAGATAGAGAGACAGGCAGACAGAAGTGTCCACGTGAGAGAAAGGGAAACATTTGTTTATACCTAAGTTAGTTAAATTATTTTCTGTTTATGGAAACTCATAGAAAATCACATGTTGAGAATACTGTCAATCATATCCGATATAACATTTTATCACCAGAAAAGAAGGTAAACGAGTGAAAGAAAAGCACTCACAATTAAGTAAAATGAAGGTAAATGAATGCACGAAAGGTGGTTTGAAGATTCACTACACGTGTGAACTGTCTTCATGTTTTTTCTCTTCATCAGCTCAGCGTATTGACCAGTGTTCAGTGTGTGAGTGGTGAACAACAAACCTTTGCAAAGAACTGAAACATGAGTAACTGTATTGGCCAAGATGCCCCCTTGACGCCATCATCTGCAGGTGACTCTCTCTCTCTCTCTCTCTCTCTCTCTCTCTCTTTCTATCTCTCCCGCTCTCGAGTAAGAGCAACTTCCTCTTTATAAAATTAACACATGTTTGTCGACTCAATGAAACCATAAAGACACAGTATTTTTTAAACACATGTTTATTAAGAAACAATTTTGTTTTTCAAAGATCCTTAAATGTAAAACTTGATATGTTACAGAATATGAATAAGTTTTATAAAATCTCAACAATATGTATAAAAGCATAACATATATGAACTTTTTTACAAAAGATGAAAGTAGGTGAGGCATGCAAAGTATTCTGCACCTGCGAGAATGCGCACGGCCACAGTGTCTTCAGAATGAACCACCTGTAAAGAAGGAGACATTTTAAAATATGATAATATGTCATAGATAAACTCCCATGTTAATCATTTACAGAAGGAAGTCCTACCAAGCCTCTCCACTAGGTGGAGATGTTGAGCCTTGAGGGCGTCGTAGAAGGCTGCCTTGACCTTATCGCCCCCTGAACGTAGAGGCCCATGAAGCATTCTCATTTTATCCTGGCTTGTGTCCTGTCTTCCAATCTTGGATAAGGTTTCAGGGTGGACCATGTCTCCGAGCGCCTCGGTTATTGCCATTACCTCTGAAACGTCTTGAATCAACTTTGCCCAGTTGCGATCAACAAACTTTGCTGTTTTCAAATATAGAAGAATAAAATAATGTACATATAAAAGGCATAATTAACTGACTTTGTATGAAATGCTGTCATTCAATAAAATGCTCTATTGAGATTTTATGTTTAACAGGAAATGATAACACACTTTTTTAAATACATTTTTGGTGCAAAATACTCACCTTTATCTTGAATGCTCATTGTTTTAGTAGAAGCACAGACCTGATGAAAAACAAAATATTCTTTCAGACTTTTTGCAAAAAATGTCAAGTCATTCATAAATGTGTTAAAGGTGTTGTTAACTAGTTTCAGAATCCCAATGTAAAACAATAGGACTGTTATTGTATGTTTCCTTTATGACAATGAAGCCCTTGAAATGTGATACAACAAAATATCGTACTAATTACCATCTTTTCCATGACACATGTTTTTGTTTGTTTGTTTTGTTCTATTGCAACTTAGACAAAGTTATGTAATATGTATTCTACTTCTTGTGAGGGCAAGGGTCAAAGTGAATTTGGCATACCTGGTTGAAAGACCTTCCAGTTTCTGTAATCCCGCCAAAGTCCACAGAATCATATGTTGACTCTTCTGCAAAAGAGAAAGAATCATAATATTCTATTGTCAAAAGTAAGTAATAATTTATAACTTAGATTAAACTACTTCCACCCACAAACAGTGTTGAACAATCTACCTGCTGTCTGAAGGGAAACATTGGTCGCCCCACTTGTGTTTGATGTGTTGCTGTTTGGTGACATCTAAAGTAACACAGGGAAAAAATATGATATATCAGAGAAAGAAGATAAACCTGTTAAAAGTGTATCTCAGTTACAAATCAACTTATATGCACTTATTCCTTTAATGAAATTAAATGGATGAGTTGTACCAGTCTTTTCACTTGACGCACGGCATCATCAATTCCCATGCTGTGCATTAAGAGCACTTTCTCAGTGACGTCCAGGCACTCTAAAACAGAAGCACCATTACATTGTAAATATGTGTGTCAAGCTAGTATACAAAAGGTATCCAAGCTAATGTGTAGCTCATTTAGTTCAGAAACATTTCAAACTTACTGACAACAAAAACAAATATTTACTTATAAAGGTAGGCCTCTGGTTGGGACTGCCATGCCAGCACTCCTTCATGAGGGGAATCAGTTCTTTCATCTCAATTTCCTTATAGCAAGGTCTGTGCCCCTGAGGGATACTCGATGCCACACGATCGTAATTAGCCCCTGCAGTACATGTGATAAAAAACATTGATTTAATTGAATAAGTTATTGTAAACCTACATGGCAAAAAAGGAAAAACAACAGAGTGGAAAATGATAGGACAACAAAATAAACTACACTTACATGGATAGGGATCTTTACCAGTAGCAATGGTCCAGAGCAGGATACCATAGCTGATATGACAAGAGAGAGAAAGGGATTTCATAACACGGTAACACTGTTGAAGAAATACTTCACCCCAACACTACCATTTGTATAGTAATAACTCATTGTATACAACTTTCCTGCATGCCTCCTCTGTTAACATCTGAGTTTGTTCACAGATATTTTTAAATAGTTTTGCTATTCTTATATGCAGTCCCTAATTACTTAAATTTATCAAGGATTTATTCCTTTTTTAGAATCTTCATCCGTCTCTCATGAATTCCAGATAACACAGGGTGAGTATTAGATATACAAATGATTGGTTTGGGTGTAAAGTATCCTTTTAAGGTTAATACCATATTGGGTAGTATTATTTGTTCATTTCTTACCTGTATACATCAAAAGAACGAACAGGTTCATATGATGATGATTCAAGAGCTTCTGGAGGCATGTACTTGAATGAGCCACCAATCGCCCCTGTTGTCTCTTTGTTGCTGTTTGAAGCGCTGGCGGAAACTCTGGACAGACCAAAGTCTGCTATCTACAGAGAAAGAAGGGAAACATAGTATTAAACACATTATTAAATCTCCTTTTGTCTAATGTAAACATAGGAGGTTAGGCACTTTACCTTGGCGTTAAGGTTATCATTCAGCAGTACATTACTTGGCTTAAGGTCTAGGTGCATGAGATGTTCTGTATGGAGGAAGTTCATGCCTTGAGCCACTTCATGGGCCAAGCGGGAAACCAGGGGCCACAGGGGCCACGGTGGACGGTCGCCAAGTTTCTCCTGCAGGGACTGAACAGATCCTCCTTCCACGAACTCCATCACTAATCCCTGTTGTGTGGATGGTCCTTTACCAGGCGGACAGCCCTGATACATTCCATAAAGCCTCACCACAAAGTTAAAGGAAGCCATATCCATATACTTGGCCTCATCACGCAGTATCATGGAGGAGCTGGAAATGATAGTTAAGGTAGGGGATTGTTGAAAAGAGATATGGGAAAGCAGTAACAACCTTTTGAACTTCTATTCAGAATGTGCATGACCTTTTTAGGTATTTTTATATTTACCTAGAAGATCCATCATGGAGTATCTTAATAGCCACATCAATTCCCAAGTTCTTTAGCCTGGCCTTGCAGACTTCACCGAATCCCCCAGAGCTGACAAACTCCCATTTCTCAAAGCATTCATCACCATAAGTCTTGCGGCTCCGCAGCGCCATTTCCTGCTGAACTGGTAGAGCCACCTCAAATCTATTATTAAACATGGAAATATGAAAAGCTGCTTAACTTAAATAAAGTGGCTTAATGACAGCTTAGATATTTTCTTTTTCATACAGATACTTTAGTTACTGCTGACATTGTGCCCTTTCTTTTACACACTGACATTAAAACAAGAACAGTTTCAGTTTGTAAAGACACTGACAAACATTTTCCAAAAACATTTCCCTTGTAATATTTTAAATCTGCATTTCACTTACCATGTATCCTCTGATGTGTTTTAAACCCACAGATTTAAAAGTAAGTTTATACTAAAACCGTGGCAAAGCAAGCAAGAACAATCTGTTCATTTCCCTCTTCATGAGCACACTGGAACAAAAGGGAGGAGCTGATTGGCAAGATGTGCACATTTCCTGTGAAACACACACTTCATGAGTGGTGTATCAAAATATATGTAACTGTGTAAAGACAGCCTTGAATTATTTTAACCATTTAGATTGTTATTTAATGTAATTGAATTGCTCTAAAAAAATAACTATATTAAAAAGACTCAAA